TGAGCTAGCTGTTTTAGCTGAATGAATTTTCATACACACTCTATTTAGAGGATCAGGTTTTGTGAAGGATGCATTTGGAATTTTAACGAAAACTTTATAGATTAGTTACCAAGAAATACAGTAACGATCACGCTTAATCTCTAGCTGTCTCTCATTTTTAAATTGCAATTTATATTTTCTTCTTTTTGATTATTTTTAGTTTATGTTATGTTACAAGTTTGCTCTTGCTTCACTTAAAAGAGAAAAATACTAAACCTAGCAAAAAGTGACTGTGTGGACATTATATCAAAAGCGTGCAAATTCTAACTCAATACAATATCTGGTATTTATTATCTTATATATATCTTATATATTATTTATTATATTTAATATTTAATATTCCAATATATTTCAAGGGAGGTTTTCAGTAGCTCTGTGGCCACGTTTGTGTAGAAGTATTGACAGTGAAGCTTTGTTCTGCAAACAATGTTCCCTTTATTGTGTCCGCCTTCGTATGTGTGTGCACTCATACCATTGCAATGCACTTTGATACTGCATTAACTAAACAGCTTGTGACCGCTAAAGTGCCCATGCTCATTTAAATGCAAAGAAATTTCCAATATGAATGCATAATGCCTCCCCCAGCTTGATCATTTCCTGTCTCTCAAACATGCACGCACACACACACACACACACACACACACACACACAAGATATCAGGTGTGTGTGTGTTTGTTTGTGTCAAGCTTAGAATGTGAAGCGAGTGTGAGCAAACTCAATGCTCTACTCTACTGCTAACTATGATGGAGGGAGTGGAAAAGTGTGTATGCAAATGTGTGTGTATGTGCGTGGGATGGAGGCAGATAACCGCAGTATTTATTATTCTATCAGCTTCCAGTTTATCACCATTCACACACACACACATACAAACACATCAATTAAAAAACATGATTTTTATTCAGTCATGCACCGCCTCTCATCGACATAACCCAAACCCTTACACACACACCATCCCACATGCAAAAATACACACATGTGTACACGCTGCTGCCTCTCAGCAGGCTCTTGTAGCTATTAGGCTAGTATCGTTAAAGCTCTTCAGGCTAATCGTCTCCCCTGATGAGCCACAGGTCTCAGTGGGATGACTGGGAGAGATCTGGCATGATTGACTCGGCCTGTGCGAGTCCCTATGAGCCATTAGCTTAGTGGGTAGAAACACACACTAATACAGTATACATACCCCCATACACACACATGCACATAGCAGATTGTGCTAATGCATGTCATCTTCCCAAATTCATTTACATGTTTGTGAAGAGACCTGTCAGTTGTTGGGGATAAAAATGTGAGAGTGTGTGTGTGTGTGTGTATGTGCAGCGTGTAACTTTTCCCTGTTAGTGAGTGTGTGTTTCAGCGTCCCTCTTCCTCTCTCATGAGCCAGGTGCCACAGGGGAATGTTGGGAATGTACGCCGGCGATGAGTGATGCTGACAGTTTGCCACAGAAACTGAGCAATGGGAGATGGAGGCAGGGAGGGAGGTGCCTGACGTTAACTCTCCTGATATTGTACCAACCGCTGATAAGCACAGTCACACCCCGGGAAAAAAAAAGATTTCCCCCTTAAGGATCGTCATTCATTTTAATCCGCTCATTAATCAGCTCCTTGGCGTTTCGGGCAATTTGGGATGATATTTTTGTTCAATTTAGGCTGCGTGCATGCCTGAGTTATTGAAGCCAGAAGAAGGGGGAGGCAGAAGGGAGGATGTTTAAAAATTAGGAAATAATTTACAGCCTAATGGAAGCAAGGAGTGAGGCAGGAAGGAAAGGAGTGATGGTCAGCCATTAGTTAATGTAAGCAAGAAGGTTATAGCTAACTGTGTTAAGAGAAGGTATTCTATTGTTTGTACTAAATCAGTGTGTGTACATGTTTGTCTCGGGAGTAGAAACTACACATCAGAGCGCCGGTGGCCTAGTGGTAAGATCGTGGCATGTACAGAGGCTGCAGTCCTCGAATCCAACTTGCTGTTTGTATACTTTTTTATACACATATATGACGATCCCAGTTTTTTATTGAGCTATGTTACTCTATAAAAAGTAGTTAAGAAACTGCATACAGACACAGTGAGTGGGAGTCAGACTTGTGTCTAGAATTTATTCCAGGGTATAAAAATCCCCCTGACTAGCAAGGTCATCTTATCTTTACAATTTCTGATTGTGTTGCTCCATTAAATTCTGAATGGGGCGCTTTGGAAGGTGTATGTGACCTCTTCAGGGCAACAAACAAGGTGTCATTTCTTTCTATACAAAAATAAAAAATAAAAACTACATTGCAGTTATTTTGTGGAGCAAGATTGCTTTTCTCCCAAGTTCCCCAAAACTCGTCAAGTTAGCTGTGTGGCTTTGACTTTGACCAAATACACTGGAACGCTTAATACCTTCAAAACATGCCTCATTCCAAGGAGCCAAAGTTGTTGTGCCGCTGCTCGGCACGTCTGCATGCTAACGCTAAACTAACATGGTGCTCATGGCTAACACTTTACCTGCTAAACACGTAGGCCTATGGATTGTCATTGTGAGCAGGCCAAAATGAACATTTAGCAATAAGCACCACATGTCTCTCACAGAAACACACTTGGTGTTCTCCCTTTTTGATTTGCCCCTCCTCATGATTGGTGGAGGAGCATGGTTTTGGCCCTTGGTTGGTACAGATCTTTGCACAAGTTACGATGCGGTTTGGAAGCGTTGGTAAATCTTCAAGCTCCCTAAAGCTAATGTTAGCTAGCATGCTAATGAAGTGTTGACTGAATTGATTTTTTCCCATTTCAAGTTCTCTCTGAAGAGTAAACACTTGTTGACTGTTTTCTTTGACCACTGCAAATCATCACTACAGTGATTTTTAGTCATTCTAATTTTTGTTTTCATGTGTTTCCTCTTTCAACCAAGACAGAGTTTAAGAGATCACTTGAGTTGGTCCCTTGCTCTCTCAGAGAGCAGACATGATCGTCTTCATGTTTTCTTATAGTGAGTGATAAACTATTACTTTCATATCTTGTTCTCTGTGCATGTTTGAGATTGGTAGGACGGTGATCTGTGCTCAGTTTAACCTGTTTATAAACTGGTTATTATAAAACTCCTCTAGTCTGGCTTTAGTCCTGCAAACTTTTATACCTCAGACATCTTCTTACTGCACTCACAAACTTCAGGAGCTTGACTCACTATTTGTAGAGGAAATGAAAGGTTCAATTGCAGCTATAAATTACAGGAAAGAAGCGGGCTGTGGTGTTTGCAGAAGCACATGAGATAACCCTTTTCAATTACCACAGAGTTCAGGTGGAGGTTATTAGGAAGATGCTTTAGATCTTACTAAGCTGCCAGGTACACAGCTTTATTTTTTGGAGGAAGGGAGGCTTACTACTTACTATAAAATGCATAACAAACTGCATATTAGGCTATTTGGGATTCAGTAGAGAGACCAAGTTTGTATTTTTGTTGAATTCTACTGTATTTCAGGCTCGTTGTATTGGGTATCCATCCTGGAGGATGTAAGTGAAGTATCCATTACAAAACCTCTAAATTACTGACACAGTAGCTATTACTCAAATTGGTTTCAGTCAAATGCCCTCCAAATTATAAACAATGACCATCCAAATTGAGAGAAAAAAACACATAGAAGCTTTTTAAAAATCACACCAATTAATATCACACTGTTTTCTGAAGTGACATCCAGTAACCAAAGTTGTCCCCTCAGTTCTCCTTCTGTCCCCCGTTGAGGTTGGGGATGAGGGGGTGAGGCAGGGGAGAGAAATGCTGAGAACAGATGGCGGAGTGGCCCCCATGTTCAGCTGCCTGGGTGATTATGGACACAGCTGTCAGTCACTTTGTATGTCTGTGTGTGCACATGTGTGTATTTGATTTTTTTTTTCTTCTGCAGTGTTCTAGCTTTGTGTGTCTTAATGTGTGTATCAGAGACTTTAACTCACCCATGTGTTCCCCAGTTCCTTTGTACTGAATGTGTGATGTTACATTTGATCTATGTGTTTATGGCTATAACATATATGGAAATACTGGTGTCATGGCAGAGCTCAGATCTCACATCACAGTTCAAACTAAAACTTGCAAAGAATGTCAGATTTGTGTCACCTGTCCACACACACAGGAGCAAAAATATCCCCCCTCTCTCTCCATTCTCGTTTGGACTTTATATGTGTCTCTCATCATTATTAGGCTCTACCCCCATCTAGTGGTGCTTTACAGTAATGGCAATCTTGTAGGGAAACAATACAATACAATACTTTATTGTCCCCCAGTGAGAATGATCTCACAGCTATGCACAGTTAGTATGAAGAAAACATATAACAGCAGGTAGAAGCACATAACGAAGAAGGGGCACAATGCAAACCTCATTACCAGGCCAAATTCTATCCGTCTTCATTTGTTGTCATTATTATGGATAAGGAGCTCAAATGAACAGATAGTGTTTGAATTTCACTGCAACATAACATTTTTGTTATATGCCAAAATGGCAACTACACTTCTCAAAACATTAAGGGGAGTTACAAATGTTATTTAATCCATCTGGACCAAGATATTGAGATATAGATTAAATATTAAATTTAAAATGATCAAAACTGCATATTTAGATCTCTCTGTCACAGTGAGCAGCTGACTGACGGGCAGTCCTATTGTAAAAATGTAAACACATTTAAACAGCTGACATGCATATTGTCAGTACATGAAATAAAAGTGCACCAATATTGTTAATATTGGAGTCATGTGTCTAACCTACAGGGGAATTTAAGTCACATTTCTTTAATTGAATTTAAGGTAAGTCAGCTCTGTGTAAGGGTTCAACATGTGCAACAAAACCAAAAACATTCTCTGTCTGGACAAATTCACTGTCGCTATCTCTCACACAGCAACATGTGTGAAATTATGATCCACTAATTAGCAGCAGCCATTAGCCAACTGTTCAACATTTTATTAGCGTTGTCTTAAAATAAAATAAAAATCAGCATGCATACACAAAATGTAAGAGTCTTTTAATGTTTATTGGTGATCTTAACTTAGAGTATTACTGTCATAGAAAGCATAGTTTTTTCTTGAAAGTAATGCTTCAATTTTGTTTTTACATTTTATCTATGTAGACGTGTCTATGCTGGCTGTTTGTGTCGTCCATTGGGGGCTGTCAGTTGATAGAGGGGGTGCATAGTTGTCCATCACGTCTCTGATCCAGTCATTGTACAAACACAGTTTAGTGTAGACACTGGGGTCAGCTGGGTCACTGCAGCCATGTCTAAACCACTGCACACCCTGCAGCTGGCCATCACACACCATCACACCGCTATCATCAGTCTACAAAGAAGAGAGAGAAGAGGGGAGGTTGTTTATTGGAAATGTATGCAAAATGAAAGTAGTATGGTTCAGTGTGAGCACATAAAATATGTGTAAAAAGTAGATAAAGTAGCACAAAAGGAAAGGAGACGAGAAAAATATACATCATTTTCTAACCGTGTTTGTGTGGGTGTGCGTGTGTGCATTTGTGTGTGTGTGTGTGTGTGTGTGCTCACCAGGCAGTTATCTGTGTTATTTTGACCAGCGCAGACCATCCCTGGGCTCCAGAACAGGTACTCCGGGAATGTGTTTATACACGTCTGGTCATCCACAATGGGCACAGTTATGCACTTCAGGTGTTGATCATTCTCATCTGTTTAAAATAGGGTGTGTTAGTGCTCTGTTGAAAATGTTCTCTAATCTTTTTAAGTATGCTTTTCTTTTCTCATTACGGCTACTCTGTGAACCGTTAATCAAGCTGCCAATGAATATTTGACTTGAATTACCTTCCTTTTCCTCTGCAGGACTATGGATAGGGCTACTTCTTAGTTTTATGCATCACCACTTCTTGCACTGAAGCATAAATTCTAAACCTTGAACAAGAGCTATTTTCAAGGCCTGCCTTTTTAATTGGTGTTGATCACTGGCTGTGCCTCTGACAAGCAATTAGAAACTTCTCTGATTCAAGAAAGCCATTTTTAGTCATCATTAAAACAATATGTTAATGCCTTGTTAGAGCTAAAATGACCAGAATATTAATGTTCTTTTTAAAGCGAGTGAAACCCCACCTGCGGCTCAGAATCCAACACTCTCCTGAGTCACTATGAATCCATTTTTTTCATCCTTTATTCTTCTATTTATTTTGTATAATTTAGATTAAATGTCAGACAAATGTGCTTGGTGTTCCCCAGTGTCACTCAATGCATTTCTTATTAAAGCACTATAGGCTATAGTACTGCTTTAATACAATCATTTTTTTATGGTTGTATTTTCTTACAGGTACAAGTTGTACAATGAGGAACTAAGAAACACAGTATAGCTTACCTATCTACAGTTCCTACGAAGAGGATGTTAGCCGGCAACCTTGTTAACTTGTTTGTAAGGCCATAAACATGATACCTTCATTAACATGCTAGCTTTCTCATTGCGAGCAGTTTAGCATTATGGACATTGGCATGAAGCTCACAGCACTGCTGAAACAAAGTACAGTCAGGAACAGGAGCAAAACTATTATCCCATGTTAGGCCTATATATGCAAGTCGATTAGTACGCAAACGACTTTATTCATGTATATTTTTAATATATGGGAAATTATTGTGATGTCGAACTTAATGCTTTGCTAACTTTAACTTTTCCCCTTAAATAGACTGCAGCCCTCTCTCCACTGGACTCTCTAAAGGTCACTCTACCTAATTACTTTTACAGTCTAATTATAAAAGCCTCCAGGGGGATATATCACACATCAATCTTGATGGTAAAGATTAGGTTTCTGTTCACGTTTTGAAAGTTTATACAAAAAGTACATTTCATTGGTGATGCTAAAGGTATTTAAAAAATATAAAATTCTAAAATGTACCATCAGAATAGATTCCCTTTAAAACCGAGCTGCCTACCAGTTCACTGTCAATACTTTCATTTACTTTCTATTACAGAAAACAATCTTTCTTTTAAAAATGTGCATCCTCTTAACATGGAGGGGATTCTCAGTGATTCTCCCAACAGCAATGACAACCAAACAACCTTGTGAAAGTTAAAAAGTCCGCAATGCATACAGGACACCAGTAGCCTAGTGGTTAGTGGGCAGTGGGCTCCCCATGTATGGGGCCTATAGTCCTCTGGGTTCGAATACAACCTGTGGCTCCTTTCCAGCATGTCATTCCCCACTCTCTCTCTCTCTCCCCAATTTCTGACTCTATCCACTGTCCTGTCTCTAAAATAATGGTCTAAGAAGCCCCAAAAGAAACCTTTAAAAACAGTCTGCATGGTATCTACAGCTGTTTGCTAATTTTTTAAATAACATGAATGCACCGGTTATGAAAACATTTTTTTTAAAGCTTTTACAAATGCATTCAACATGTCTGTCAGGCTTAAAAGATACACACAATGTATGTTGGTGAGGCTACACGCAGAACAGCTTGTAAAAGGTTCAGACATTAACAGCAAGCTGGAGAGGAAATATTTTTGGATTGGGAATACCTGTAGACTGGATTAGTGAATACTAGTTTTGCTGCAGTTATTCTAAATGGTAACGTGGTGACAGGTTAATGAGCTCTTAAAGCCACAGTAGCACCTTTAAAGCCACTTACATTGATTCCAGGCAGTGGATCCCCAGCCGCTGACATGGCAGGTCTCTCCAGGCTGCGGGCACCGACTGGGCAGAGGGATGGGCCGGACGTGCTGGTTGAAGCGAGCTGGTTCAGCCAGTCGGACCATGGCCAGACTGTGGAGGGGTGAGCGGTAGGGGCCGTGTATGATGACGTCGGCGACCTGAATGTGCTGCTCGGTGCCCTCGTCCACAGCCACATCGTGTTCCCCCAGAGATGCGGTGCTGCTGTAGGGTCTGTACGGACAGGGAGGTGGGGACTGTGATTTATTGCTCAGATTTAAACTCCTCAGGCAGGCACAGGCCCATGGTCGAGGGTCATTATAAAAAAGGAACAAAAGGTTATTGAATATGATTTGATTTTTTTTTTTTTTCAAAGTAGTTCATAACAACAGAAAAAACGACAACTAAACAAAAGTTTGAACTTAATTTTTAAAATATCGTACAGGTTTTTGGAACGGTTATTTTTCTGAAGCTTTTGTGGGAAAGGTAATAATAAAAGGCTGGATTATATTGATACATGGTCGAATTGTTAAAAGCACCAAAGTTTTAAAGAGCCCAAATGTGTGTTTCCTGCTGGAAAGTATAACAAATGCTTTTTAGTAAAAAATAATCCTGTTATTTACCAAAACTGCATCATTTTACATCAATAAGACAAAAAAAAAAAAACCCACAAAAATAGGCCTTTTAATTCAACACCAGTGTAAGCTTTTGTGTGGCATTAGTACTTACAAGGGTGCACAGCTAAATGAGGTCACTATCCACCATTCATTAATAAGAGCTCCACTGCAGGACGACCGTTCCCCATGTAGATAGACCTGCCAGGGTCTGGAGTCAGGCTGACACACCTTGTTGTCCGGCAGGGGAGATGCTCCTGTGACACAACAACCAGACAACAGATAAATGAAGTATCTTTTCTAATATTTCATCTTTTACTTTAAATATAACAAACTTTCTATTTACCTGCAAGCCCCAGAGTAACTGTCAAAAGGAGAAGATTCATGCTGTCTCTCTCTCTCTATTGTTCCAGTTGTGATCCAGTGGCTGTTTTGATAAGTTTGTTTTTTATACCTGGAAGCTATTGAGGACAGTGGGCGGGAGAGATGGCTTTATTTCCTCCAAGCATAATTTCCAGTTTAGCCATAAACTTTGTGATAACCTTATCAGAGAAATGTTCGATATCTCCTTTTAACAATACGTCCGGTTAGAGTGACAGGAAACTTTTGTTCTTTTTCTGGAGAACAAGGAAATACTTTTTTATGGGTTGGAAAGGAAAACGTCAGGTGTGGAAGATTTTAGTATTTTAGTGAAGGTTATTTTATTTTGAAGGTTATTGACCAGGTCAGAGGGTGATATAACAAGAGGAGACATTATCACACATGAATTAATAACACAAATCAGGATTACTAGTCTAAGGAAAGGTAGAATATCTACTTGAGAGAAACAGAAGGATGGAGATGGATTACTTTCTCAGCAGCACTTTACTGTCATCCACATTGTTCTGCTACACAACAACCCCAACACTTCCTTGTTACTCATCACATGTCCTGTCGTTAGCCAATCAGAGTTTAGGATGATTAAACTCAAGGCAAACATTATGACAAACACAGAGGTAGATTCAATATCTTTTAGTCACAGTTACTAGGTGCTACTGCAAATATTAAAGCGTGTAAATATATCAATATTAACCTCGTAGACTCAAATATGTAAATACTTCACTGTATAAATGTTACTTATTTTTTAACTTAAACTTAAATGCACGAATTAACTCAAATATATTAATTCACTTCTCTTTAAATCTTACACATGTATCCTGTGTAATGCCAAATAGGCTGAAGTCAAGACCATAATGTGCTGATAAATACTGTCAAGTCGTCTGCATTTTCTTTAAAATGACAAGCAAATAATTCAAAGAAGAGAAGACGTGAGTGAGTATTAGCTCTTGTATTAGAATATGTGATGTATGCTGGACATCTTTAATCCAACTACATTTCATTTTTTGTATTTAACAATGTGATATTAATTAAATCAGTTTCCAATATGAACAGGCTTTGTGAGCATTCGTATCCATGTCCAAACACGAGAAGCACCTTTAAGCTCATGTGAGCCGTTTATAGCTGGTTGTGAAACAGACTAGAATTGATGTTGATGTCTCTTTACAAATGCAAACAAGACCAACAGATAAAGATAGATAATTTTCCAAATAGCTGCTGCTGCAGTAGTGTCAGATAAAGGGATTAACATCACGCTGAAGAAACAACCCTTTTTTTTTTATATGGAAAAGGTTCTCAATGAGTGATGTGTTTTAATGGTACATAACAAATCAAGAAGACTTGAGAAGTACCTCTAGGGGGACCCATAACCTAAAACCAAAACCAAAATTCATCCCAGGAGCATTAAAGAACCAGCACTTTCTCTCACATGAAATAACATTATTCTACAATTCACTTAGCAGACGCTTTTAACCAAAGCGACGTACATCACAGAGTAAGTACAACACTAATCCATTCATACACCTCCACCAAAGCAGAGGGAGCAATGCGGGGTTAAGTGTCTCGCCCAAGGACACATCGGACATGTTGCTCAGCTGGGGATCTCTTTCTCTCACATGAAATAACATTATAATGTCCAAATCTGATTTGGGGGGCGCACACGGGCGCACAAGGGGCAAACACAGACACTCAACCCCAAGTAGCTCGGCAGCATGTGAATGTCTGTGAATGGGATTAGTTACTTCTGATGGTCACTTTACGTAGAAACCCCTGTCATCAGTGTGTGAATGGGTGTGAATGGGTAGGTGGGACATGCGGTGTAAAAGCAGTCCATTTACCATGTATCAAATAACAACAGGCTGAAGTCATGTAAAATGCATTTTGTTCTAAATAAATGATTCCCCTATTCAACTTACCATTTTGTATCAGCAGCTGAGGTAATGTTTTTTTAGAAGTACTGGAGCATTGAAAATACTTAAACATCTCATTCGTCTTGTGTTTGTCTGGTAGATTTTCCATCTTTTAACATCTCAATATAATTTTACTTGAAAGAAAATGACTCTCTTGTTTGTGACATCAGAGAAAAAACAACATGTTGATTTATGCATTAATTAAAAATCACAACATTCTTGCATCAATGGTTGTCAGAAATAAACAAAGCAAACCTCATAGTTTATGTATTCATCTCAGCTTACATTTTACATTTAGTTTCTTTTCATCTATTATCAGGCCCATCAGAAGCGTTGGTTCTTGAGCTGCGTCTGCAGAGAGGCCAAATAAATGTGATTTATTTGATGAAAAAAAAAGATCTTTTGTCAACCACAGACACGGGGTTTTTTATTGTATAAAAATTTATTTCAAGATAAGTCACAAATATCCAAATTTTCCAGACTTGAGATGACCATTAGAGGAAACACAACCATCAGACGGTGGCTGTGAATCATTCAATAATGTTGCATTGTTTTTAGTTTTTGATTCTGCCTATGCAGAAGTTTATTGAACCATGATAAGAAGCTGTGTGTTCATTCGCTTGTTATTCTGTATTTTAGTTTCCTCTTTCCGTCTTGTTTGTTAAAGAATGACAGTCCCAGCTGGGGTGGGGTTGTGGTTGGGATTGGGGGAGGGGGGCGTATCTTCATTTACCGCTTAAGAAAGAGCCTCAAAGAGCAGCTGCTGTTTGATGATTTGAGGTCCGGGTGTGTTGAGATACGACCAGAATGTTAAACGACAATGTTGACCTTGTCGTGAGAAGCTTGAAAGTGGCTGTCAGAAAAGGTAGCTGAGGTGATTGGAAGTTAGTTCTTGTTTACTGCTGGGGGTAAAAGAAGTAGTAAATCTGGTCATGGAGGACGCCAGTGTATGTTTTCACAACTGTGGTGGTGTCCGTGTAGAGATTCCTGTTGGGGCAAAAACACAGAAAGAAAAGAATCTGAATATAAACCGAATTTTCTTAACAGACCATCAGTGATATATCTTCATGTAAAGCCTCTTCATACTTTGCCTTCTCCTCCAGCTTCAGGCCCCTGATGCTCTCCAGGTATCCTTTGGCGGTGTTGATGGTGTTGTCATAGTACGACTTGACTGTGTCTGTGATCTTGGTGATGGTGCCCTCCTCTTCCTCAGACTGCCTCCGCACACGGAAGCTTTCGGTGCCTGCACAGAACAGTTTAAAGGGGGTCGGAGGGTCAGTACCACACTTTGTACACTTGTCTAATTTTGTAACTCCATGGTGTTAATAAATGCACTTACTGAGAGCTAAGATTGCAACCAGCACGGTGATAACCAGCAGCTTATTCATGGTGTCACTCGTACCTGTAAAGAATAACGTTTACCTCACTTTTTCCACTAGAGGGAGACATTGTCAAACATTTTCACACTCCATTTCTTTTTTTTTACAGTATCATCTCAAAGGAGGGCTTGATTAACTCTGTGATTACAAAACCTATGTTTTTCTAATTTACAGTAGGTCTAAGTAACTTAGCTAATGTCACAAAATATACATTTTCTTTCATTTCGTTATCACATAAGACAAAACATTCCTGAATTTCTAAGTCGGTTAGATAGTTGAAGTAAAAATCTCAGTACTCACTGTATTCCTCTCCTCAAATGAAGAAACAGAGTAAAAGGCTCCGCTGGCCCGGCCTGTTTATATAGGAGAGTAGATGTGTTGACTTGTCGATCTCGGAGCCAAAGTGCACTCTGCGGGAGATAAACCTGCGCTGTTGCCTGGTGTTTGTCTGCGTGAGTTTGTGTGTGTCATTGTTTCTTGATAAACAGACACTGGGGCTATCAGTATAAACACAATGAAGCACACAAGGTTTCAAGAAAGACTTTAAATGTCATCAAAAGCCACATAGCATTGGCGTCTGATTTGATTTTGTTAACAGAGCGGAGCTGTTACTCTGTGTGTGTGACCCTTTGTTACATCAGAACCAATCATTCTCCGTTGATTAGGTTAGTAGTTCATTAATGCAGCACGCTCATAAACCTCTGTTGAGACACTTGTGTTACTTGCATAATGGTTGTGATGTATTCATGTCACACCACAGCAGTCCTAAGTCCTGTTAAGACAGTTCAGAAGTCTGAACACGTCATCAGGCTAATTCAGGTTATGAAATATAACACACAAATATTGAACAGACACCTTTCAGCTCCGTTCCAAAACACGGCCTTGGATTGTTTTTCTCTTTTTCTAGAGAACAGTAATGTCTTCCTGCTTTGATTGTTGAAGAAAGTTTTTTTCTCTATGAATCTGAAACATAGAATTAAAAAAAAAAAAAAAAAAAGCAGATGCATGGAGTTTGAAAAAGGATGTGTCCCTGGTGCTCTTATGGTTGGGGATCCGGGTTTAAAGTTGTTGCAAAGATCTGAAGCACTCACAAGGGTAATTCATGAAAAGCATTGTTTTATTCAGGCCTTCAGACTTATAAAAAACATGCCTACCCTTCCTCAGGGCAAGTACAAGTAAAACAACTGTTTCTGGAAAACAAAGGTGCTGTAATAGTAAATGGACTTGGACGTTTTTAGTCTTCTGAATACTCAAGGCCCTTTTACACTTCATGTCACATTCACATTTCTTTGTGACCAAAAAAGTCCTCATTCTATTTCTTATAAATCGCAACCTTTTTTTCCTGTTCTGAATTGTTTTAATCAAAAATAGCTGCAGTGAAGTTTTAAATCTGGTGTGTTACAAGTTCTTCTTTTTCTGTAATGTTCTGAAATGGCTAACATCTGAGCCCCTCATGTGATCCGGCCTCACATGTCATGTTGCCTGTGACCTCCGAGAGTGGGTCAGATGAGGACAGAGTTCAAAATGCAAGCGTGCTAATGTGTCTGACCCGATGTAGCAATGATTTAGTACTGAGAGGATTGACTTGACCACATACGACATTTGGCTGCACAAATGCGCTATAATTCATACAGAAACACTCACACTATAGCCTGTCTGTGCCGATCTTTGTTGTGGTTGTGTGACAAATTCAGCGCTTTCAATTACATAGCAGGATTGCATGTTTATTTGATGCCCATGCCCCATATGGCCCCAATTCAACTGACCTCAGCCAAAGCCAACATTTATTTACAACAAATTCAGTTAGTCATAATTCATTGAGATCATGGTAACAACACTGAGAAGTTGTACACTACCATAACTGCAATTATTAGCAACATAAAGCTAACTTAAAGCAGTAAAATGCTTTTGTACATTGATCAGAGAGACACAGTAATTTAGCATGAAGTCTTTTGAACATTTATGTAAGTCCTTCATTTAAAACTCTTCACATGTATTGTCAGAATCTTCTTTTGTCATCGCTATCAAAACAATGAAAGGCATTTAGCAGATCTTTGCAAGTTTCACCCCCGATGAAAACACAGGGGAAAAAAACACAACATCAAATCACAGAAGTTAAAGGCACTGCAGTATGAAAAACTCAACAAAAAAATTTGGCCAAGTGGATTTAAACAATTGTTACAACAATACACGCTAAACAGAAATAATTAATTAATGATGAAAATACTGTGCTGGTGCTTTGATTGCTGTTTTTGACCATAACTATAGATGTCTCATTGTTATTGAGAAAAGTATATATTTTTCTTGCGCCTTATCATTCTTATATCAATCAATCGTTATTTGTATAGCGCCAATTCATAAGTGTTATCTTTAGACGCTTTACTCAAGAGCATATGGGATAATATGCAAGAATTTCTCCTCTGTATTCCTTGCGTTCCTCTTGTCCACACTTCCTTGCTGCTGAGGTGGAGGTCGGAGCAGGCCGTGCATGAATGAGGACAACTGTGGTTGTGGGGACGGCAGAGTCCGACGGTGGTGGCTCGCTGGGTTGGTAGTAGTGTCAGATCACCTCGCTGAGGGTTGGGGGAGCTCTTATATGATATTGCACACATACCTACATCTGTATAAGTATTTATAAATATATTTATACATTATATTTATACTACTTTAACTTATCCTATACTACACATAAATAACACAATTAGCTTAAAGATCCTTTACATCTGCTGTCCCATGGCCGGTCACAATTAAAACATCACAAAGATAAAAAAAAGTCACAGAAAAACTTGACTGTGGCACATATGAAAAGGGATCATAGCTTGCATGAAGGTCTTTGCAGCATTCATTAGAAGAAAGTCTCTGATATGTCTGAAATTTGCCAAGTTGTACTTGATGAGTTTTATCCACTTTTTATTAAGACTTGAATCAAGCATTATGCCATGACATTCAACTCACTTCCATTTTCAATCTTCTCAGCCTTAATGAAGAGTCTTCTTTAATAGGATGTTTTGTTTGAAGAAGAACATGCCTTTTGTTTTGTTTATGTTATGAGATTACTGATCATAAACTTCCTAACTGCTAGCCCAGCTGTTTTTGCATGTGAAGATAAAACAGTGTTGTAGGCATAGTTTGCAGATCTATCGCAGGACGCACTTGTGGAACGTCATTAATGTAAAAACTAAATAATAGAAGGCCCACTATTGAACCTTGATGCACTCCCATTGTACACTTGAGGTTGCTTGACAATGTTCTGTTAACTTAAACATATCCATGCTAGCCGTCTAGATTACATTTTTTATTTTAATTCAGCAAGTTTGTTATAAGAACATTGTGATTTATCGCTTTGTGCATTCTAAAAAATACAGCAAATACCCTTGTCAAGCTGAGATTTAATCTGCATTATTCGAGTTTATGTAGCTGTATCCATAGATATCACAAATTGATCATGTCATTGTTGCATTTGTGACTCCACATGCAAGCTAAAGTGAAAATGATTTCTGTTACTATTTCGTTTTTTGTATGTTTTTACTTTTCTCTGGTTCTGTTATTGTAATGTCAAATGTCATAAGGTGCTATTTCAAACTCATTTCCTCTCAGGGATTATTATTGTGTGTGCGTTTGTGCGTCCATGCGTGTGTGTGTTGGGGGGGGGGGGGGGGTGTGAACTTGAGACAAGCATTTGTTGTATATCAGTTTAAATTAATTCAATCAAAGTTTCAGCTGATTTAAAAAAAAAAAAAACTGGTCAGAATCTTAATGAATGACTGAAATATCTTCATGTATGTTACATGATATGAAGAAATAAGTTTTCTATTGTTTTCAGTTTCATTAATAACTTCACACCTTTACTTAATGACCAATGAGTGGATTCTAGGGCTCTGCTCATGAATTGATATACCAACTTCTTACATAATATTACTCTTTTTCAGAATAGAGGTAAAAAATGGTCAAAATTCTTAATGAACAAAAACATCTCGAGTAATGTTCAGTTAGTTTTAATGAACAAACTCACACATAAACACACAGTCTCACTTTGGTTAGTGAATCAAACACAAAATACTACACATGCGCGATTTGCAAACGTGGTGTTTAACTTTGCATGATTCATCAAGGATGGTAATTTGAAAAGAGGCAAGTTTGTTCTGTGCATTAATCTTCTTTTCTCTGCCTAAACTTGTTCACTTTCTATGAGCTATTGTCTAATGCAGGCTGCTGACAGGCGGTGGGTCTTCTTTACTGTTCAGGAACTGGCGCGACTGTGTCCAGGAAAGGCTTGAGGTGGGAGTTGATGAAATTGTCCAGTGATTCACCGTGGTTGGGACGCAAATATTTCTCGTAAAGACCCAGAACGCCTGAACGGGCCTTATCCACCAGGGGGCTTGCCTCTTGGGTCAGGCCGCTGCAAGATCCAAAAAAGAGAGACTATTTAAAAACAGTACAAGGACGTATAACTTGCCTCTACACCAGGAGATGCCTTGCGTTTTTCTGTTTAAGGTATAATGAAACATAAGTATATATATATAATATATATATATATATATATAAGTAATGCTTAAAAAATGTAGTTGATTTGGACAAATGTCTTAAAAAATTAGTAACAGGTTATTCACTCACACTAGGAACTTGTACAGAGCTTGGGCCTCAGGATTCCCCTGCAGGTCATTGAGGAAAGCTTTAATAGGTGTTTCCTGATCGTCTTGTCCAGCGCTCTCCACAATGGGAGCAGCAACCTTGCTGTAGAGGGCCATTACTCTACTCAAGAAGACAGTCCTCATCGTATTGTACTTATCAACAAGCTCCTGCGATGGTTCAGGAATATCGCAGACGCTCACAGAAACTGGAATGAAATCAGAATTGAAGGATTATTGTGTCGGAGGCATTGCCTATTTGGCAGAAAAAAACATCCTTGTTAATTCAATGCATTGGAGGAATAGAAAAGAAACCATCTCTTGGTAATTTCATCCAAAATCATCTTTTTTAATGCTGTGTGCTCCATCAGCCCAGCTTAATTGTGGAGTGTAGGAACCAGCTGAGGGCCACTGGTATTTTCATTATAATACACATTTGAATGTTATAAAAGCAACATGCTCGTTTTTGCTCTTGTTCAACAAAAATTCATCCTAAATCTGAAAAAATGAAAAGCATTTATATTCAGAATCAGCTGATTTAAACGGTTACTTTTCTTTTCTACAAAATAGTTTAGAATTTGTTCAAAACTCAGATTGCATAGATAGATGCCTTACCCTGCAGAGCCAGGATCAGTGCCACAACGTATTTGACATTCATTTCTGAAAAACACAGGAAAAAATGATTTTTTTAAACATTATAATGAAGTCTCTGCTTACCAAA